AAATATGCAAAACCCCCTTTCCTCCCCTGTAGAGATTTAAAGTTGCCAATAGACCCTTTTACCCACAGAACTATAGCCTGACCAGGAAGCCTGCTTTCTTTGTGGGGTCCACTGAGATGAAATACAGGACAGTGTGTGGCTAATTCATTGCTCACCCCATGCATCTCCATCTTGGGCCCTATGGGTATCACCGGTACTATCTAGAAGGGGGCAGTGAGGCTGATCATGAAGTTCAGCGTTGGATTCAAACTTTCTCTGAGGCCAAAGCAATTTGGATCTTGGGCTGTGGATAAGAACTGCCTTGAGTATCCTGCAGAGGAAAGCAACCACCCTCCCTGCCATGGCTGCCTAAATGTTGTTTTTACTCCCAAACTATTTCAGATAATTTAGTTAATGCCTGAATGATGGTTGGCCCTCCAGGAAAGGAGGCTTCCAGTGTTACTCTTGTGACTTCTCTGGCTTCCTCAGTGAGCAGCCAGCAATGGGAATGTGTTTTGGCAGAAGAGGTTGCACATGATGCAGCTTTTGAGGCTGGGGAGAAAAGGAGCGAACAGGAAAGAGGGAAAGCTCTCATAGGAACTGTGTGGCATCAAGCTTCCACTACTTACACGTAGGGAGAAATCTGTGTTTTTACCTGCAGGGAGGGACAAAGCCATGCGGGAGCCCAGATCCCCACCTCTCTGAACTCCAGGGACACCTGGACGTAAGTCCACGTATCAAAGCCCGACCCCATCTCTAAAGCAGGCTGTGCCCCCTGACCACTGAGCCAAGGGACTGGAGCCCCCTGTCACAGGAGCGAGCGGGGGCTCTTCCAATGCTGTGCTGCTATTGTACACGGGGAAGTCAGGCAACTGAAGCACAGCCGGCCTGAAACTCGAGTCCTTCCAAGGACGGTGCTTTGATTGCATCGTCTTGCACTGTATGGCAAAGGGTGCCCTTGTCCTGCTGCCTGGGTCAGCAGCCCTGATTTTGGTCGAGTGGCAGTAATTGTTCATCAGAACGCGCTGTGCAGGAGCCATCCCGAGGGGATGGAAATGGGTGGAGAGAAATCATACCTTTCCCCACCCCCCTGGTCAGTTTGTATGCAAGCTCTCCCTCTGGGCCGATGTTCAAAGTGCCGATCGCCAGGCCTAGCTTAAAACCCAAGGCCCTAGACACCCGTGCAGCCAGAGGCTTAGCTGTGGAAGTTACTCAGCTCAAGGCCGCTCCAAGACATTGAGCAGAGAAACCTGTGAGTTGGGAGGTGATACTAGACCATGTCACAAAAGACTGGTAAAAGAAACCCCAGTTCCCCTGCCATTTTGGAAGGGGCCTGGTCCTAACTTCAGTGTCTGGGACGGAGATGCTCTCTGATTTGTTCGGAGCCTCTGTGGTATTGCAAAAGAGCAGAGCTGAATGAAGAACTAGGAAGGAAAATGCAACTTGGAGAACCGCCATATCCCTAAGTAATGGGACTTATCTCGCTGCTGCCCCTTGGACATGGCTTTGCTCTTCTGGCACTGGCCACGGTGGTTTCCAGCCACGTGCATGAAAGAGTACATCTCAACGAGGGCTGCTTCCACTGCCTTGATGTAACCCCCCTGCTTCGATCATATGCTGTGACTATGGAGATAGCAGTGTCACACCTGAGATGCATTCCTTCCCAATGCAAATCCATCTAGCGTGAAGGGCTGTCAGAGGAAGAGGTGGAGTGGGGCCTGTTGCTGGGCCACATAGACTGTCTGGACCTGGAAGCCACGGGGAGGAACTGCTTTTCGTGTCTGAAGGGGAAAGCTGCGGGTGGTCCAGATGTGGAGAACACCCAGGTTCTGTGCTGAGTCCCCTGGTCATCCTCTCTTCTGAGCAAAAACACGGCTTGTGAAAAACTGTGGGTCCCAGAATGCAACGCAAAATGGCCCTCTGACTCGTGCTGGGGATCCTTGTCCTCTGCCGGGGCCGCTGCAGCGTGTTTCATTTCACCACAATGAAGCGTAAGTCTTTGGTCTCCTGGCCTCTCTCCAGTACTCTTTCAGGCAGAGTCGGGATGCTGCTGTTCTAAGGATGCCCCGGGTTCAGAGACTCCACAGAGGTGGGAGCGGGAAGGAGATACAATTTCAGCATCAGGGAACTTCCATCCAACCCTACAACATAGCCGTGCAATGCAAAAGGATGGACTACAGCTTGATGGTTGGGCACCGGGTCTCACCAGCAGCCTGTCTGCTGCCAGTGGACCTCAGAAGGGTTGCCTGCTTCCCCCTGCTCTGATGTCCATCTACTGTGGCCTGCTCTAAGGCACTGCAAAGTCACTGACCTGCTTGTTCTGGATACCTCTGGCTCTGAAAGCCGTCCCTGCTATGTGACCTGACCAAATCCCCAGCCCTGGGAATGGTGGCAAGCTTGTCTGATGAGATGCAGTTCAAACTCTGAAGAAAATTGCTGAGTGGAAGTGACACCCTCACCATGTTCCCACAAAAGCTGAGCAGAGGGCGATTCATCTCCTAGTGCTACCGCACCCTTCCAGCTTTGGTGGGGGCTGGGAGCGGTCACAAAGGGACTGATCCTGAGCATCAGCAACCCCTTGCCAGGGAAGGGAGCTGAGAGCAGCCTCAGTGTCTCTCTTTAGATCATCATCCTCTGCTAGACGTCTAGATTCCCCCAAGCCCTGCCCAGACATCTATTATTTATTCAAGGGACAAAACTAGCTGAAAGAGAATACCGTTCCTTGCCGTCAGCTCTGGAGGGAAGCTGGGATCAAAGCAGGAGTGAATGCACTTTTGATTCAAGCGCAGGTCATGCAAAGCCTACATCTGCTCAGTCAAGCACTATCTGGACACCACGGCAAATTTAATTCTATGCAACACTAGCCATGTTGTGCTTGTGTATAGAGGAAGGACGCGAAGGTGAAGCAAAGGGTCAGAAGCAAAGTCCTGAATCTGAGAGAGGGATGAACATGTTGGTTTATACCCACAATTGCATGCATGCTCAAAACAGAGCAGGAAGTTCATCTCAGCATCTCCTTAGCAAGTCGGCTCTTTTGCTGGGCTTCTGATTTCCATTATCAGCCAGTCCATGTAGCTAGCCCCCTCCGGCCCCTATACCCTAATCAGCATCTTCATCCTCTTGAAGAGCTGTCAAACCCACTGTGGCCTTCCACCTGGCTGGAGCAGCAGCGCTGGGGCTGTGCGCATGTCAGCTGCCTAATGAGTAGGGAACACAGCCCTGCCAGCTGTCTCTCCCTGGGCTGTGTTAGCTCTCCGTCCCCTACATTGCTGCCCTCTGGCAGGCTTGCGGCCTCAGGATGCAGCAAGGGGAGCTGTGCTCCTGCCAGTTGGGGGCTTGGACCTTTTCTATACACTGATCATTTTAGACCTGGCCCTTGCATCTTATTTGGGATGATATCTGAGCACAGATCCCCTGCCGCTTCTGCCAGCCACCGGCCCCAAAGTGCTCCACAAGAATTAGTAGCCCCTGCCTCACTGGGAGACAGGGCTGACCCCTCTTTTACAGGAGACAACTCGGGCTGAGTGGTGAGCTCACTTGCCTGAGGTCAGAGTGCAGGGCAGAACCCACCTCTCCTGCCCTCCCATCATATGCTCCGTTGTGCTGATGAAGATTGCGAGACTCTCTGCAGCCTGTGTGTCACCCCCGACTGCCCTAAGGAGAGCCTGCCCAGACCAGTGCCTTGTTGTGGCAGGCCAGACTGGACCACAGGACCCGCTCTGGGTCAGGAAGGCACCTAGCAACATCTGCAATCATTGCCTCCTCCTCTACTCCACTGCTCCATCTGGTGCCTGCCTGTCCCTTCCTCCTCATTTCTGCTCCATCAGCAACTGATTTCTCAAGCCTCTCAGATTCTGCAGTAGAGTAAAAAAATAATTGCTGAAAGGAGAAAGAGAAAAGGATTTTCTGGATTGCAGCTGAGGAATGAGGGTGCCAGACAACACATGGCTGGGTGGGTTGGTCTAGGCTTGTCCAGTTGGTGAGTGAGCTTGGCCATCCCAGTGCTATTCTGGGGATGCCCTAGAATAAGATGTGTTATCTGGTGCTTCTGCTGCTACTCCCCAAGCAAATTTATTCAGTCACCAAGCAGCAGTGGACAAGACAGCTGAAACGATGCAGCAGACACAAAGGCATGTGGGCTGGTAACAAATGCACTGGGAGGAACAGCAGGGAAGAACCTGGCTGCAGGATACAAACTTCCGCCCATGTCTGAAACGCAATCCATGCAAGTCATGTAGCAAGCAGCGTGCACCAGATAACTCAGCACTTCTCCTGGTTTGAGGGCTGGCCTTCTACCTGGAAAGGCATCTGGTCAGACAGGCCTTGGGGATGGCACTCCTGATGGATAGCAGCAGGTGTTCCTCCTTCCAGGCGCCACCCTCTACCCACATCCTAGAGAAAGGGCTGCAAGAGGACATGAATGCAGTGACTGGCTCTAAATGCAGCAACCAGAAAGCACCTGGAACTCCATTTTCCATCTGAAAGGCCAAGTCAGTGTAATCATTAAGAAGCTTTTGAGGCCAGCTCATTACTGGTTGGCAGCAAACTGTCATCCATTAATGCTCCCTCCCACCTTCTCACTGCTTCTAAATGCTGTGGGACTGCCTGCCACATCCTCTCTTTCTTTTCAGATGGCATCTGACTTCCTTTCTAGCTTTTCAATGCTGCTCTAAGTGCTCCTAGACCTTGCTGCCCCAGTGAACAGGACACGGATTCTAGGAACGTGCCATTTTGGAGGCCCCTGCAAGGCAGCACGGTGCCTCTGTTTCATTTTCTGCACCATCGCTTCTGGTGACAGGTGAACAGAAGAGGAACAGAACTGCAGTGAGCATGAACTGTGCTGTCTTGGATGCTACAGTCCACATGCAATGTCAGTGCAAAGTAACTTGATCCCATGCTGAATCCCACTGGTGCCTCATACTGGGACATACTGGACACCAAGATGCTGAGTAGAGGTGACTCAGGCGCTGACGTTAGACAGGGCTGTCTGCTGGGTTGGTTCAATATATTATAACCTCGCAGTGGGAGTCACTCACCAGGCAGCGGTCATTCTTTGCCCATGGCAATGTGGCATCAGTGTGAATATTCATTGTAAACCTAGTTATGACCTTAATTTTTGGAACGCTGGAAAACCAGGCCTGTGTGCTGTCATCTTACGTAGCAGAGCCAGTCCGTGGGATCCATGTGGCAGTTAAAAAGGAAGGAATGTGATTAAAGTCTGGTGCTTTGGTAACTAAAACCTGAAGGCCTTATTTATGAGCAAACAGAGGGGCTTGGATTCAAAGGCATCAGGTGCAAATGTTTCTGTCAGGCCTATGGGTCACCGCGAGAATTTTATCCCCATCATTAAGCAAACAGTATCGGCATGGTACTTTTGGCTGATATTGCAATAGGCTTTCACATGCTGGGATGCTGTAATGGAGCTTTCTGGGGCTTGAGACTGGAAGATGGGGTTTCTGATGCTTGAGAAAACATCTTGAAATAGGGATGATTTGGAAACCAGCTTTCTCTCAAGCAATTTACAGACATTTGAGCGCTCTCCAGGCCAGCAGGCTGCCTGTTTTACAATGCACAGCATCAGGAAAGTCCTCTGGGTCTGAGACAGAGCCTCACAGCATGATGGACAATACACTGGTCTAGGCCTCTTTGGCTGGCACAAGGCAGGAGAAGTCATATTCTGGCTGAACCCAGGATCTGAACATGAGGCCACAAAGGGAGAGCCAGGTTTAACCAACCATTTTTCAGTGTAGTACATAACCCCAACTGTGCACCATAGTACTAACCTTATTAAAAAACCATAAAACTAGTTCATATTCTGCAGAAGAGGCTGCAGTGTAACAGGGTTATAGGTCAACTTTCTGTAGTAGCTACATGTGCATTTTCTCAATGCATTCAGCCTTCCTGATACCAACCCGACATCGATAACTGCTTTCCCTCACCCTGTCTATTTTATTCCCCTAGTAAAATATATGGACACAAAGCATCGAGTGAGGAGAAGCCAAAAATTTCCATTTTAGGTATCTGATCATGCCAAGCCAGCTCTTTGTAACCAACCCCTTTGTGAACAAGGAACAAAAGTCAGCTTGTGACTGTGTGGCTGTGGACGGCATTCAGTCACGTCACTGTCTGGACGTAGTCCGAACTTCCCTCCCCCTTCTACTGGGCATTTCAGTCTCAGAGGTCTTAGAGGGTTAAACTGGAAGCAGGTGCTTAGTTCACAAGAAAAAAAAAGGTTGGGGGCAATTAAAATAATGCTGCTGTGATGGGATACAGAAAGAAATAGCAGGTGGGGTCTGTTGTGTGAAGACGGTGAGCTCCAGAGTGCAGCATGCCCTCTTGATCAGGACACACAGGCACTGATCAGAGAGGGGAAGCCCATGTTGGAATAGGACATGGCAGAGAACATGTATTATTTCACTGCAGGTGAGCAGCCCCGCAAGGTGCTGACCACAGGCAGGTCGGGCTCTCGGTAGGGCAGAGTTTGTGCCCTAAGATGGAGCACTGACCCAGAGGAGAGAGATGATGGACATTTGGGTGTCTGTACAAGTGGGACCTGACTTGTCCCGGTTTACACAGTGCCATTGAGGAATTTGAAAGCCTTGTCCTTTAAAAGGACACTGTCAAACGATTCAGGTAACTGATCTGACCTTAGTTTTTTGTTCCTATTTAGCCACAGTTTCACTTTAAAAAAAATGTGTTGCCTGGAAAACAAATGACATCTGTCTTTTCTGCAAGAGCTCCTCTGCTATTCGGAGGTGACTAGTTCTTCCCAAAGCTAAGCACCAGCTCTGCTGGCGTCGGAGCTGAAGTGAGGCACAACAGAAGCAGAAAGAAAATGGCTCTGGCAGCTTGTTTTGCTTTAGTGTTTATCAGGTGATTAAAAAGGGCAAAAGCAACAGCAGAGCCTGCTTCTGGGATGATCTACTCCCTATTGGCCAGGAAAAGTTAGTACTGAAGCACTTTGAAGAAGCAAAGCATGATCACTAATAATGACTCGCCCTCACAACACCCTAATTTCCCTCCCCTCCTTCACAGATGAGGAAAACACGGTTTGAAGTGTCTTGCTCATGACTACGCAAGAGAGGAATGGAGCCGCCATCTCCTAATCCTTTGCTCAGACTGCCACACAATGTGGTGCCTCGTGATGGGCAGAATCAAAGCCAACACCACTTACAGCGATTAAGAGCAGGTGACAGTGTCCGCTTAAGGACTCGGTTGACTGCATGTGGCTTTTAAACAAAGACTTTGTACTTCAGAAAGGTGAAACTTGAGCACCTTGTTGCAATATTATGGAATTTCCACAAAGGAGTTGAGATTAGAAAAACTGATCCAATTTTCCTCAATCTTTCAATTGCTCAGGTCTAAGGTGAGTGCTAAAGGCGATGCTGGCAGTCTTCCCTGGGCACTCTGCAGCCAAAAGCTCCAAAAACTAAACAAAAGAAAAAATCAGGAGGCCAATGTGCTGCATGATTCAGGAAACCTGCCTGTGTCAAACACAGCTGCGGGGCAAATTGATGATACCGTCCCTCCATTTATTTTAGAGCCAGGTTTCCTGAGAGCACTGTCTAAACACAAGTTCCCTCACTCTTGAGACAGCTTTAATGTGAGCTATGGTTGTCCCTGAAAAGGGTAGAGGTGGGATAACAGCAGTTCTCCTCATGCTTTTAATGAGCTGAACCTACCCACAGTCTTTTTGTTCCGGAAGGATGCTCCCCCTCCCAGCCTAGGACAATACCGAACACACTGGCATTCTGCGTGATAAACATGTGAAAACCTGGGAAAAATGTTCATTCTTCACCATGTTTGGTCTTCCCACCCTAATCTCCGTGTCCCTGCACATATGAGAATTTATTTAATGGATGTTTGGCATGAGCTGGGCCACAAAAAATTTAAACAAAACCCAAGAAATGTGACCTGGCTTGAATTCATGGAGACTGTATGGTTATTCCTGGAAGTAAAGTGAATCTAAAAGGAGCAAAGATGGCTTGTGGACAGAATTTTACCTGTCTGGTGGTGATTTAAGGTGAAACAAGGAGCAGATTCATCAGATGTGTGACATGGCTGCCCAAGAGGCTGTGGGTATTGACCCAGGATGAAATACTGCCTACATGTGCTCCGTGAGTGCAGCTGACTTTCAGGGCATGTTACTCCTTGCTGACCTGGCTCCCCCCCAGAATATTTTACTCTGCTCCTATGCCCTGACCCAGTTGGTTGGCAAAAATGGATCGGTTTTAGGGAATGAATTAAGGATGATGCCTTCCCCACTCTGTTAGAAAGACCTTGTGTCTCCAGTTCACCATGGATCTTGCAATAAGATTAGTTGAGACGTGGAGGAATAACTGCTGCCCCAAACCAGCCCTGCCACCATGCAGACCTCAGTCAGAGTCTGTACAGACCTAGGACCACTGGGCCCTTTTGCATTAACTCCCCAGACCAGGCCCAGTCTGGCACTTCAAGCCTCTATGTTTGTTAACCAGGGCTTAAGAAGAACTTATCAACTGATCGTAAAATGGATTTTTGGTTTCTCCTGGCTCCATGAACACAAAGAGATGCACGTCCTACCATAGGAGGAAGCAATGGCCCGTTAAGTTTTACAGTTATAGTGGAAAGCACTGATCACGTCCTGCTGTCCTCATTACTGGATGTGGCAGGCGGTGGAGGAGGTGGCTTGGCAGCACATGCAGGTGGGGTTGACAGACTTAGGGGGAATTAAGTCGAGGTCCTCGTCATCTGGAATCTCATCTAACCGATACCCATCCTTTAGCAGCTGGATGTTCAAGTCTTGGTTAATCTGCTGCAAACAAAGAGACACACAGTCAAATACTTTAGACATTTATTTTTTTGAATGGGGCAAACTCGGAGGAAGTTTCCTACAAGGATGTAAGGGTACTACCTTTTGTTTTAAGCCAGTGGTGCTGAAGCTTTTGGCCCTGTGGGCCAGACGAACAGTGCAGGGCTGGCCCATGGGTGGGATTGGACTCCATGCTATCTCCATGTGCCACCCCTGCCTGGCACTATGTGCCAGAATCAGGCTCTGGGGCCCTACGTCTCTCCTGCCTTGGCCCCATCTGGCTCTGTGGGCTGGGCCTGGGTCCCATGCTTTTCTGTATGCCCCATCTAGCATGTAGGGCCACAGGCCCCAGGCCTCCCTCCAGATCTGTGGGGAACACTATGGGCTGGATGACATCACCCAGGGCTGGATCTGGCCTGTGCTGGGGGTTGAGCACCCCTGTTTTAAGCTGATTCCAGAGTAAGAGCATGAAACCCAGAGCTCTTTAAATTCATACCCTCCCTTATTCTGGAATACAGGCAATTATAAAGAGGTTCAAGAAATACTTTTCTCTGTGGCTGTAGGGGATAGGGCTAGTAGCAACGGATCACAGAAATAGAGAAAAGTCAGGCTGGAAGGGACCAACTCTCCGCTCAAGGCAGGATCATCCCCATCCAAACCAGCCTGTACAAATCTTGCTCTAACCTATTCTGAAAACTGCACAATCAACCCTGTTGCACAACTACAACGCATATTGGCCAAAGACCCCAAAAGTATCCCAGCCTGTCACAAGTAAAGCAGGGAGATAAAAGATCCAAGACAGAAGCCATGTCCCCCTGCTACAGAGGAAAGCAAAACCCCCAACAGTCTCAACCAGTCTGACCACAGGACGCAATTCCTCCCTGGCCCCAAATGTCAGGATCAGTCTGACCATAAGAGGGGAGGGAAAACCCTCTAAACAGGAACCTCTGGGTCTAGAGAAGCAGGACTGGAAGGGGCTTCTGGAGGCCATCTGGTCCAGTCCCCTGTCTGAGGCAGGATCATCATTATCCAAACTATCTGATACAAATCCACTGTCTAATCTCTTAGTAAAACTACTGTTGACCCTGACACAATGTAAGACATAACACCCAAACCTGCCACAGGTAAAGCTGGGGCATCCTGTTTCTATAAAAGGTTATGGTAATATATGCTGGAGACATCCCAGGAAGAAAGTTACACCCCCTGCTACAGAGGAAGGCAAACATCCCAGTGCATACCAATCTGACCATGGGCTAAAATTCCTTCCTGACCCCAAATGTGGGGATCAGTTTGACCCTGAACGGGGGGACAAGACCCTCTAGCCAGGAACTTCTGAGTCCAGTTCCTAGCAGGGACACTGGCATAGTCCAGTCACAATCCCTGGCCTGGGCTTCAGCCAAAGCTAGAGCTAGGAAGAGCTTATACACAAGTTCTTCCTGGAGCTTCCTCCTGTCCTGGGCAAAAAAAAGGGTGTGAGGGGGAGGTGGCTCACTGTGCACAAAGTGACCCCTGTACTCACAGCATGTGTCAATAGTCCCCTTCTGGAGATGGTGCTAAATGGTGTCTTTCTTGCTTCCCAGGGAATTCATTCATTTGTACTTGTCAGAGAGATGGTTACTGAAGCGGCGGGGGCCTACAGTCTAACCCTTCTGCATCGGTTTTGCCAAGACGCCTTTCCCCTGGAGGTCTGGCAGCATGAATTTCCAACCCCGAGCGCTACAGAGAATACGTCCAGTGGATAAAATTATGCCTGTCCCAAAGGGACAAAGGGAGAGGTCTTTAGCTCAGCAACAAGAATTCAGTTATTATGGTGCTGCTGCTGTGTCTTTCCAAGATCCCTTTATTGTAAATGCTTTGCCCTGCTCGTCTCTGGAATGCAAGTTCTTTCCAGTCATCACTGAAGCAAGGCAAGCAGAAGGGAGTAACTCACCTCAGCTGATGAGTATCCTGAAGAGGAATATCTGGACATATCGAAGTCGTCATCACTGTAGAGAATGACAAGATACAGCAAAGAGAAGGAGGCAGTTAGAGAGTCTTGTTCTCTCTCTACATCCCTGCCTCTCCATACTGTGGACCTCAGCTCTCTGCACAAAGAGGTTAACCGTGCAGTGTCTGTACTTGCAGAGCACCTTTCATCAATAGATTTCAAGGCACTCTGCATGCAAAGTCAGTCTTAAAATGAGTGTTTCCATACACATTTCTGTATACAGAGATGGGCAGACAGACTAAGATGTGCTAGGGGTCACAGCAAGGTGGGAGAGGAACTAACATGAGTGATTCAAGGATGGATCTGGCAGGTCAGGACTCCTGGATTTCAGAATTACTCATGAAGAAATGCAATATCCCGCATACAATCTTATTGTTAAGAAACTCTTTGCGTACCTGTCTGTATCCAAGGCTACCAGTGGCTTTTCATCTGGACTCTGATCTAACGATGAATAGCCTTTATTGGGAACAACCAGCCTGCAAGAATTAAATATTTTCTATTAAATACAAATTTAAGTTCAGTACCGTGCAAAGCTTAAGACAAGACCACGAGCCAGTGAGGACAGCAGAGAGAGTCTCCTTATTTCAGATGACTTCATTTTTATCAAACGTCTTCCACAAATAAATAGAGGTTGACGCAGTTACATGGAACCAAGTGTTGCCCTTGGTTTGTGTGAAACATATTTCAAAGGGATGAAGGAAGGGAACTTGCTGGTCCCTCCTGTGTTGGGGTCTCCAGAGCATGGAGCATGGACTACTAGATTAGTGTCTTGGTAGCAGTCAAGAAGTTATAATGGCCTATATTACAAGGAAGCCATAAGAAGGCAGGTCTTGGCACTTTTAATAACCAAAATAAGTGAATCGCTGGGCTTTATGGACTCAGCTCTTATCCACCCCCAAATGCAGAAGCTTACATAAGTAAATTGTTATTTAAAACCCAATATATTTATCATGCCACGTACAATGCAAAACCTGCCAGGGATTTCTGAGTTGCCAATGTTTCTGAGTTAGCCAGTGTTCAGAAAACATGGGCTATATTTAGCAAGGTGAGGAGTGAGAATTGCTAGGTGCAGTAAAAGAACCCAAATATACTCAAGGATTTTATCGAACACAAGTTAATACTCTCAATCACTTATGAAATGGTGAGGGAACGGAATATCGATTCATGATCTTCCTGTAAAGTAAGCGGGTTCATTAACTTCAACTCCCCAACCCCCTGATGAGAACTGCTGTACTCTAAAACTGCATCCTGCATTTAAAAGCGTGATGCTTATAAATGGACACAGAGCAATGGAGAAAACCTTGTATACAAGAACAAGATTCAACCAGGGAAGCTGAGAACTGAAACAACTTCCCCCTCCTTTTCAATGGAGTAATGCTCTGTTCCCTTACCTACACCTTGCAAAACTCAACAAAGGGGCTCATTTTCCTTCAGCAAGCTTGGCGTTTGGGAACGGAAGGGTTAATGCTAGTCTCGAGACAACAGTTCATTCTACCAAGGCCAAAAGCTCCAATTGCTCCGTGCTCAGCTGCAAAAAGCATCCAGCATTTCCACTGGCAATTTCTGCAAAGTGCTCGTGACATTAGCCATACAAAAAGCTGCTGTGCATTGAAGATTGGCAACTCCAGGGAAGAGCAGAATATATTGAATTTCACATCAAAGTGCACATGCAGGTTTGCCACTGATTGTATTAGCCAGTTTCCTTCTGAAGTCATTAAAAAACTACATTTTTAAAAATTACTTTAAAGCGGCTGCAGAATTTCCAATCTGTTGCACCAGTGAAGTGGAGGAAACAAAGAGAGCCTCTTGCAAAATGGAGATCCAGCCTTCCATAGCATATGAGAGGGTCTGTCTACTTTTGGAAACAATATGGGAAGTAGATCAAGAAGCCAGGACATTTAGGCTCAGGAACAGAGCCTGTGGTCAGCCAGAGTTGGCCAGCTGCACTGGATGCCAAGCTTGCTCTTCAGTTTAAAGCTGCCACCCCAAATACAACAGCTAAGAGCTCTTACTTCTTTCCAAATCGGCCCTGTATTGTCAAGTAACCTAGGAAAAGTGTCCTTCCTGGTGTACTTTATTTGCTCTATAATCAACTACATCCTTTTACCAAGCAATGTCTAGCTATTGGGCTAGGGACAGAATTATACATACCCTGGTATAAGTGATCAGAAACTGGTTCAGATCTGTTACACAACAGTTCAGTTCACACAAACCGCTTTCAAAATGGCTGTAACTGGTTTGAGATAAACCTGGATGGATGTAGTATTAGATTTAACTGATTTAGGTTAAATCGGTTTATTGAACTTCTACTCCAGACCCGCTCCAGATTCAGGTCAACACATAATCCCCCAGCGTCCCAGGATGCTTTGCACCTTCCCTGCAAACCCCTCCTTTGCAGGGTGGGTGGGCTAGCCTTGGCCCAAGCTGTCTGCTCCTGCCCACCAGTGAGGAGTACTCTGGCGCCCCCTGGCTTTTGGCCCAGGCCACAGCAGGCATGTGGCTGCATTTCTGGGATCAAAATTGAATGTCTGTTCACTTGCTTATTGGTTCAATCTACGCAGCTTAGACTAACCTGTGAAGATTGAATCAATTCAGCCTTGGGCTTTCTGACTGTCTGTACTTAGCCCCATTGTTCTCTGCAGTATAAATGTTTAATTTTACTCCCAAAGGCAGAGTCTGCAGTGCTAGCTCTGACCCTGGCTTCACATTTTTCCTCTTTTCCCTTGTCTGTTGTTTGGCCTCTCAAATGCTGCGGAATCCATTGTTGCCTCATCCCCCTCATGTGCAGATCATCTTTGTGCTTCGCATGACAGTGTTTTCAGTGACTGAGCATGAAAGATGCAATTGCAAAATGTGAATCTAACTGAGCTATAAGAAGGAACAGGGGAAAAAGAAAGCCATCTACATGGTATGGGGGTGGGGGGGAAAGAGAGATTGAGAGCTGGAACATGGCTGGACGGGGGAGGAAATGAATAGTATTGATAAAAAAAAAAAGCTCCATAAATGGAGGGCTCGACTGATCAGGAGATTAGGTTCTGGATTTTGAAGATCAAAAAAATTACTGCACAATGATACAAGCCAATGGCTCACTGCCCCACCTGAACTGATTTGGGATTTTCAGACTGATCCCTAGTGGACGCTGGCCTAGCTCAAAAACAATGCAGGACCAGAGAGAGCACCATGCCAACAACCTCCCAAAGGTCAAGGGCTGAATTATTTTTTTATCCCTAAATCTGATTCTCCCCATGAGAGACAGGCAGAGACAGGGTAGCGCGGGAAATGCGATACTGGAGGCTTGGTGTCAGGCATTTATAACACTCTTACAGAAGAACAAGAAACAAGGGAGGTGGTGGGGGTGGGAGGGGGAATAAGGTGAATAAAGTGAAAAGAAAAAAAAATTCA